AAAATAATTGTCATTTCATTACATATTTGATAAAAAATTGTTACAAAATTGTAAAATTGATAAAATTTTAACGTATAATAGTATCGTAAGAATTTTATCCTGCGCGCGAATATGTATAAATTATGCTACCTACCTTATCGAATATTCGAATTTTCTTCACAGACCTGCGGATAATCACAGGAAACACAATAACACTATGTCACATGAACGAATATTCGTAAAAACCACTTAAAACAACGATGCAATCACCTCACGAAACGTCACACTCACTTTGGTCGAGCGGCCATTTTGCTACACACAATCTGAGTGAAGAACATTTTGATCTACGAAAGACAAGAGCTTGAAGTTAATCGACTATAATATGCTAGTAACTTTCAAGATACCAACATTATTCAATAATGTTTGTGATTTAGTAAATAATCTGATGTGTTCAAAAATTAACTGGTATCATTAAATAATATTATTTTTTTCATACTAAATTATCAGTGACAATTGATCATATTTTGTCAATTATATTCAAATATATATATATATAATTATATACATATATAAATACAAAAATATATGTATATATATATATATGTGTTTAAATTGTAGTTGCGTTTTCTATATATATATATAATAATTTTGATTGGATGATTATATTCTAATGTGTTTTTTGAAACCTTTGCCATATGGCAATAGTACATTTAATGCGAATTAATTTATATAAAAGATCTAGTTATAATTAGATTTCTGAAATGGCGCCGCAATTGCGAATTTTATCTAATGTTATAGAGGTAATATATACATATTTTTGATTTTTATTCCTTTTGATGTCATATGAATTAATTTTATGAATAATGTAAATTTTTAGCGTTTAAAAAACATAAAAAATGGTGTAACAGGTCACTTATATGGTGTAATGTATGATAATACATTAACAGTATTAACATTTAGCGTAAATATAATGAATAATATTGAAGTCAACATAAATCATACAATGTTACAATTACATATGTCTGCAGAAGTATATCTTTGTGGTATTTTACATGTTGGTGAATGTGAAGAAAAATTTATTGATGCATTTCAGGTAAAAATATTAAATATAGTTATAAATACATGAAAATATATTTATTTATTTTATCTTTTTTACATTTTTATTAAAATTATTTAGGACATTGATATCACAGATAATCCATTATTTTTAAAGTATACACATGATAATTTAAAGATACAGGCATATTTTTATATTCATTTAAAACTTGAATCTATTAATGATATAAAAATCATTAATGAAAGTGATATTTGTCAAGAATTTATTTACATTCGATTAAGAGGAAGCTTACCATTAATTGCACAGGATGATAATATAATGGAAGTATTAAAAGAATCAAGAAAAAATGTAAGTTTCATATCTTATATCTTATTAAGATTCTATTTATTGTTATATATAAATTTCTGTTATATATAATTTTCTTCTAACAGATTGTATCAGGAAAAATAGGAATTCATTTTCCATCAAAAAATGCTTTTCTTTTCAATAATGAAAATATTGTAAAAGATATATCTTTAAAAGAGATTCTAAACATATCTGATAATTATGAAGGAACTAGAAATATAAAAAAAAACATGAAACCCATGGGAATAGTGGTATGTTTTTTAATGTTTATTGTTGTATTTGTTATTTCTCTGACATTTTTAGAAAAATTATATCAATTTTACTAAACTAACAGAATGCTGTAAATGCTTATATACTTTTAAAAATGTCTGGAGATAAACATTCTGAAGATAATATTAAATATGCTCCAGTACTTCAATATATAAAACGTAAGAATATTATATATTTTATTATATTTATAGTTTATAATATTATATTTTATTCTTAAATATTTAAATATGTAATTAATTTAAAGAAAATATTTATAATATAGGATCATTTAACAGTTTGGAATGCAATTTATTTATTGATACATTATCTTTGGTCAATATTAATGTAAGTTCAGCAGATCTATATGGAATATTGGTAGAATCTATGTGTCGAAATATCAAATTGGTAGAAAAATGTTTTGAAAATCAACTTCAAAGATCAGAAACACCTATAAAACTTCCAATCCCCATACATTTTAAACCTCAAGGTTTCGGACATTTGATCACAGTAGTCTATCCAAATGGTTATAGTGATAAAGAAACAAGTAAATTTTTCTATTTTATTATATGATATGAATTTTATCATATTTATATAATATAATTTATATATGTCATTAAATTTCAGTAGAATATCGTGAAAATTTACATAAAATTTTGGGATTAGATATGACAAGACCTTATTTTCGTTGCGGAAATGCTGTGAAATTTTATAATGATTCAAAAACAGAAAGTATACTTATAAGTCCTCATGAAGCAATTGTAATAAATGATGGTATGTTTAATGTAATAATAAGTTTCTATTTCTATTTCTAATTCTATTTTAATTCTATTTTTAAATATTTTTTATAATTTTTTTTATTAGATATAATAAACAGCAATTGGAAAGTACAAATTGTACAAGGCTTATATATATATTATCATTACATGCAAGATAATTTTGATGATAATGGATGGGGATGTGCATATAGATCTCTACAAACTATTATTTCATGGTTTAGGTAATTTTAATATATAATAAAATAAATATATAAATTTTATTTAATTTTATTTAATTCTAAATTAATTATTACAGATTACAAGGTTACACTGAAATACCAGTACCATCACATCGTGTAATACAAAAATGTTTAGTTGATATAGGCGATAAACCTTCAAATTTCATTAATAGTAAACAATGGATTGGTTCTACGGAAGTAGGTTTTGTATTAGAAAGTCTTTTGGATATCAGTGTTAAAGTACTCTGTGCATCTACAGGTGAAGAAGTATCATCATTAGCTCCAAATCTACTACATCATTTTCAAACACAGGGTACACCAATAATGATTGGTAATTAACTTTTCTTATATTTGTTAATAAAAATAATAATATATTATATAATTATAAAATAATATATTATATAATTATATAATAATATATTATATAATTATATAATATAATTGTTAATAAAAAAAATAATTGTCTATTGTTTCTAGTTTCATATATAAATAAATTGTAGGTGGAGGAGTATTAGCACATACAATTTTAGGAATCAGTTATGATCAAATTACTGGAGATGTTAAATTTTTAATCTTAGATCCTCATTATGTAGGCCCTGAACATTTACCAACTGTAATAAATAAAGGTTGGTGTGGATGGAAATCAAAAGATTTTTGGAAAAAAGATGCATTTTATAATATGTGTCTTCCTCAGAGACCAGTATGTATTTGATTATAAAAATTAAAAATTCAAAACAAATAACACATAATAATAATGTTGACAGTGTTCAAAATTATTTAAGGTCAAATAGTGAATAAACAATGTAGTATATGCTTGAATGCTACAGATAATGTTATATATTATATATATAATATATATGTTATATATATAATATGTATATACACATTTTATTATAAATAGACGTATACTTAAAAAAGAATGTGCAAATTATATTTTATTATACAAATATTTGCATTTGATAGTTGATATCAAAAAGTACTAAAAAAAACATTGTTATTTGTATTTCTTTTCATTTTATAGTTAAAATTAATTGTATATTAAATGCATTTTCAAAATAGTTTTATAAATTAATTCTTTAAATAATAATATTTAATGCTAGCCTTCAAGTAATCATTCCAATTTCTTATACTAATATTGTTTTATTCTATTCTTGTAAAAATTTCAAGATATAATTTCTTGAAATTAATATTGTTGCAAAACTATATTTTGTGATTAATCTTTACTTCATAAATTCTTAAAATTTGTTAAAAACAAATTTATTCTATTATTACATATATTTAAAAGAAATTCTTAAGTTAATGAATTATTAAACATTTTCTAGTAATTTATTTTCATCTAAATGATTGTCTTTGTATGTTATTAATTTATTAAATTTAAAAAAAATTTATTAAATATAAATGTAAGTATTTGTATTTAGATATATTTTTAATTTGTTTAAACTGTTTGTGAAAACAAATGTAACTTGTGATTTTTTGAAAAGTGATACATGTGTTATTGGAGCAAAGAAAAAAAAAAAAAGTTTTTTTTAAAAATAGCATAAAAAAACTATTTTATTAGATTTCTTTTCAAAACATTTTATCAGTAGGAGTATTTCTGATATTTGAATATATTGAATAAATTAAAAATTATACAATTATTATAAATTAATATTAAAAGTATTAAAATAATATTAAAAATACTATGCCTGCCATTGAAAGAATTTGTGTTGATATTTTTTTTGCAAAAACAGAAATTGATTTCTATAAATCTAATTTTTATATTAAATATTTTTATGTTCAAAATAACTATTATACTTAGAAGTTATTTAATATATAATAATATATATAATATAATATTACATAATATTTAAAAGAAACAAATATTATAACATTAGAATTATTATATGCTATATTTTTGTGATTCTCTATAGAACT